GCATTGTGTCTGTGTGTGTGTATGTGTACGAGCGTGAGTGTGTGTGTGTGTGTGTGTGTGTGTGTGTGTGTGTGTGTGTAGCCACCGCGCTATCGATAGCGCGTCGAGTCAGCGACTGGCGAGTCAGCAGCAGCCACCGCGCGATCGATAGCACGTCGAGTCAGCGAGTGGCGAGTCAGCAGCAGCCACCAGTAAGCGGCGAGTCAGCAGCAGGCGAGTCAGTCAGCAGCCGCCACCAGCGAGCACATACATGTTACATGCTTGCGGAGGTATGCACTCTCCGTGAGTGCCCTCTGTCTAGTTAAACATGAGTTAGCGTTATTACAAAATCTTTCACACGTTAATATAAACGGGCGGCGTGAGGAGCTATAGAGAGAGGAAAGAGGGGGTGGGATATGTCTAGAGAAAGAGGAGAAGGGGAAGCGCGGAGTGAGAAAGGAAGGGAGTATATATACGTATGCGGGCACCTGCGTGTTTGTGTATGCGCGCGCATTGTGTCTGTGTGTGTACATGTGTACGAGCGTGAGTGTGTGTGTGTGTGTGTGTGTGTGTGTGTGTGTGTGTGTGTGTGTGCGTGTGTGTGTGTGTACCCGGGCGCGATTCTGTGTGTTTGCAGCTTTTTAGGTGCGCGGAAAACCACTTTCGCCACAAATGGCAGAGTACATACCCATATGAACAAGAAACATGCGACATTGTATTTGCTTTTACTATATTCCTGTGTCCGATACGAATATTGGGATCTGTTTGTAGAATATGTCAGAATTCGTCATGCAAGTGGTTTTGAAAGACACGACCTCTGTTTATACTTCACTTCAAACGCGTCCGCCCGTGATCTTGTCTTCCGATGAGTGACTGTCGTTGAATGCCATATACCGTTAGATTGATCGGCGTTCGTACGACAAACCTCGCGACACGGCGACAGTCTTGCTTGCGCTAGTGCACACGTTCATTACATTAAACAGCACGTGGCTAGTATGAATGCCACTATCTTGAAAAAAGATGGCCTGAAAAAAATTATGTAAATTTAAACTAAACGACACATTGAACCACGTAGCTTGCCCCTTGCTTGAATTTGTCCCAAGTGCTTGGTTAACAAGTTCCAAGTACGTCGTCACGTGCGATGACACTATTTATGTTCCAATGACATGCATTCAAATACTGACAATTCAGGTTTCGCTAATTCATTCTAACATTTCCTTTTAAGAGTAGTATTTTGGTATCCACGTGTCGGGCATGTAATGCCAACGAATTACGCGAGACCTCATGGCGCGTACGAATGCGCGCTAAACTAGATAGATATTACTCTGCAATCAGAGATCACTTCGTCCAAACATAAGCACGGACCCTGCCAATATTCTAACATTCAGGGCGACGGTCCTGGGACGCCGGTAGTCCGTCCATCGATGCTTCTGATTCTAGTTTCCGCCGCGCGTGGGCAGCACCGCCCTGAACGCCCTGCTGAATGCCTCGCTCCTTCCGGCGTAGACGAAGAAGTTAACGCTCGAGTTGCAGCAGGCCATCACGTATCCCAGCCCGCGCAGCATCCCCAGCGGCTCCCGTCGCACCTCGAACACGGTCAGCAGCAACATGGCGAAGTGCGGAGCCCAGCAGACGAAGAAGGCGCCGACGACGATGCCGAACGGATGTGGCAATGCGACGCCAGCGAGATATGCACTTGATCTCGCGCATATATATATA